AAGGACACAAGGTTACCTGTTGAGACAAACCATAGGATAGGAACCAAGGCTGGAACTCAAATGTCCTCACCCCAGATCCAGTGCTCTTATCACATAAGGGCCTCTTGCTGTGCAGGCCTGCAGTCTGAGACAGAAGGATTTCAAGTTCAAGACCAGCTTGGATGCTGAGACGGTTTCAAAAGAAAATTTTGTCAGGCATGGTGGCACCCACCTTTGGTCCCAACACACAGGAAGCAGAGGCAGGCAAATCTCTGTGAGTTTAAGGTTAGCCTGAGCTACGTTGTGAGTTCCAGGCCAGTCAGGGCTACATAGTAAGACCCAGTCTCAAATAAATTTTTTAAAGGAACCTCTGATTCTATGTAATGGAATCTTACACAGTTCCTTGAGTATAAATAATACTAGTAACAGCAGGCAACTGTGGCAGGCATAGCCCTGCAGCTGGGGGCTGAAGGGGACTTCCTTCAGCACTCACAGGCATCCAAAGTAGATTCTGTTGGTCATGGAAATGTTACTGAACTCCTTCCTCCCATGGTTAATACAGCAGGAGGGAGAATGCTAGACGATAAAACCTTTTTCTCTTAGGCCTGTTCTCCCAAGACAGCAGAGCAACACAAACGACATTGTTTTTCAACCCCATCCCAGAGGTACACGCCTCATACCCTGGAGGGGACATCCTCAGTGAGAAACCAAAGCCCTGCTTCCTCAAACTCAAGTTAGGCTCTGCTTCCTCTTCCTCCTTAGGAGGTGGGGAAGGAGCCAGTATGCTGGTAGTAACTGCCCCAGCATAGACAGCTATGTGGTTTTGTGCCTCTGAAACATCCAGTTCCTCTGCCTGCCATTCTCTCCCTCACCTATCTGCTGATCCTGGCTTCCAAAGTCATTTCCTGCCATGCCCCTGCTCCAGGACTCAGGCTGACTTGGGGACATGCCTTGTGTCCTTGTTCCAAAGGCTGCTTCTTCCCTTGAGTAGATATCACAGACTGGCCTGTTAAAGAGTCTCTGCCCCACACTGAGATTTTCCTACACTACCTACATATGGATAGAGGTGGCTTCATGGCAGTGCCTCAGTGTGAGTGACACATGGCAAGCTCTCCAGGACATTTATTTATTTATTTTTTTACTGTTTGAAACAGGGTCTCCCTACAGCTCCAGTTGGCCTGAAACTCACTCTGTAGACCAGGCTGGCCTTGAACTCACAGACATCCATCTGCCTCTGCCTCCCAAGTGCTAGGACTAACGGTGTGGACCACCACGCCCTCGGCCTTGAACTCACAGACATCCATCTGCCTCTGCCTCCCAAGTGCTAGGACCACGCCCAGCTCAAAGAGCTTTAGAACAAATGAAAGCACCAAGCCTTCAATGATTTGGCTTCTGCTGCTAAGCCCCTCCCCCCATTCCCTCCTAGTACCCTAAACAGGTATTTAGGTCCCGTGGTCCCGCTTACCTTCCTCTGTCTCTTCTGTCTCCTAACAGATCTCCACCCTGACCCTAGCTCTGCCTTCAAGCCCCACTGTTCCCCTCCATCTTTTTTTTTTTTTTTTTAACTTATTTTGTCTTTTTTTTTTTGTCTGAGACAGGGTCTCCCTGCAGCCCCAGCTAGCCTGGGACTCACTATGTAGATCAGGTTGGCCTTGAACTCACAGAGATCTGCCTGCCTCTGCCTCCCAAGTGCTGGGATTAAAGGCATAAGCAAGCCTCTTTTTTTTTTAACTTTTTCAAATCTTTATTGAGAATTTCATACATGCATACAAGGTGTTTTGATCAAAGCCATGCCCACTTCCTCCCCTCCAACATTACCCCCTCTGAAGAGGTAACCCTAAAATCTTTTAAGGATTAGATACAAGCTCCCAAATACTTTTGACATTTTTGGCCTTTGGGTCAGAATATGTTGCAGGACATTTTGACTTTTATTCAAGAAACTGGCTACATTTCTCTGGGGTCTTTTTACCATTGCTAGTCAATTCCTACCTCCTTTTTTTTTTTTTTTTTTTTTTTGGTCTTTTGAGGCAGGGTCTTCCTGTAGCCCCAGCTGTCCTATGTAGACCAGGCTAGCCTTGAACTCACAGAGATCTACCTGCCTCTGCCTCCCAAGTGCTGGGATTAAAGGCGTGCACCACCACACCCAGCCCTACCTGCCAATAGGGAATAGGGACACAGACCGTGCTGGCTTCCATGCTGAACAGGAATGCAGGGTGAGGCAACTGGAGTACCCCTTCAGTGGGTCTATCTAAAAGACTCCAAAATTACA